TGTCGATCACCTATTTGTTGGATGGAGGTTGGTGAGAGCAGATTCTTGGGTCCTGAGTTTATCAAGGATACTTCTGAGAAGATAGCTCTTATTCGCGATCATATGCGTACTGCCCAGAGTAGGCAAAAGAGTTATGCTGATCGTCATACTCGTGCTTTGGAGTTTAAGGTTGGGGATCAGGTTCTTCTCAAAGTCTCGCCTATGAGGGGTGTTATGCGCTTTGGGAAGAAAGGGAAGTTGTCTCCACGGTTTGTCGGTCCTTTCATGATTACGGATCGAGTTGGAGCTGTGGATTATCGATTGGCACTTTCGGATAACTTGGATCGCGTTCATAACGTGTTCCATGTTTCTATGTTGCGAAAATTTCTATGAGATGAGAATCAGTACCAGCATATCGATGTTGGGGAGATTGAGTTGCAGCCGGATGTAACTTATTTGGAGCCGCCGTGTCGTATTGTAGACCGACGGAATCAGATTCTTCGTAACAAGGTTATTCCTTTGGTACGTGTTCAGTGGAGTCATCACAATGAGGCTGAATCCACTTGGGAACGGGAGGATGTCATTCGCTCACAGTTTCCTGACATATTGGAAGAAGGTAAGAGCGAATTCCGATGACGAAATTCCTTTTGTTAGGGGGGAAGAATGTAATACCCCTAATTTCAAAAGGATAGTCCTGGTATTTAATTTTCAATTTATGTTTTAATTGACTTTTTAATTGTTTAATTGTTTTTGAATTATTTGACGTACTTGACTTATTTGTATTATTTGAATTAATTCTTTGGTTTACTTGTTTTCTTTGAGTTATTAAATTGTTGAATTCTTAGATTTATTTTGAATTAATTCTTTGGTTTACTTGTTTTCTTTGAGTTATTAAATTGTTGAATTCTTAGATTTATTTAGCTTACATTAAGTGCTGCATTTTTGTGACTGGATTTATTACCTATTTAATTGTTAATATTGCTTAAATTGTTTTATTTAATTTTGTTGATTTTTTTTAATTGATTTATTTGTAATTGGTTTAATTATTTTAGAGGCAACTTAACTATTTTAAGTTATTAGGGTTTTGTTAATTTCATCGTGTTTTAGTCTGAGCCGACCTGTAGGTGGTTTAGGATTAAGGTTAAGCTTTTAACTTAAGCCTATAAATACATATGTTTACCCTATTCACCTTAGTCATGTATACAGTGATACAGAGGGTTGTGAGGGCAGAGAAACAGAGAGTGAGTAATTTACAGAGAGGGCTGAGGAAGGCAGAGCAAGGAAAACTAAAACTCAGAGACGTGGATTCAGTGTTTCAATTTTGAAACTTAAGGCAAGTCTTGTTCTTCTCTATCTCTTTAATCTGTGTTCTGTGCGTGTTCAGGAAGACTCCAGGAATTAAACTAAGGCTTAATTATAACCTTTATGCATGTTTAATTAATGTTTAAATTCATGGAATGAACATGTTCTGGGTTGTTTTAACAAGGTAGAAATAAAAAAATAAAAAAAACTGAAACTTGGTAACCTTGTTTTATTGAGTAACAGTTTGGTTTTCAATTCAAGTTTTGATTAAATATCATTATAGGTCCTTGTTTTATAATCAATCTGGAATTGAATCAGACCTTAAAACATGCACTAAAAGTTTACTACAAGAACTGGTACTCACAGAAATCAGAGAAGACGACGAGACGAACGAAGCTGCTAAGGGGAAAAGGGAGCAAGCTCTGAAAAACCCTTAGAGCCGGCTCCTAGAAGGTAGAGCCGGCTCTAGGATGTTGTGGAGCCAGCTCTAATGAGCCTAGAGCCGGCTCTGAAGAAAAGAAGAGCAAGCTATTTTAATTTCTAGAGCCTGTTCTCTCTTAAAAGGTCCAGAAACTGATTTTTTGTGGTTCATTTGGCTGAAATTGAATTTTCTGGAACTGTTTGAAGCTATTGAATGTTGTAAATATGTGTTTGAGACTTATAATAATGTTAAGAAGCAAGTTCACATTCAGTTATTGAGGATAGGAATTAATTTAAGATCAAATAGAGGGCTCGTAGGTGAATGGTTAAATATTTACATTACACTGCTTACTGTTTTAGCAATTGGTTTTATTGCATGATCTTAAATTATGAATCATATTGTTAGTTGTGTTAAGAGCATATGACTATTAAAATATATGTGTTCTTAGCTGGAATTAACTGATGTTTACAAACTGACATACAACGCATCAGTTATGATATTATATGGAGAAATAAATTGTATAATCTTGATTTGTCAATTTAAGGGATTGGAACTGGGATTCTAAAATTGTTATTGGATGCACAATTTAGTTATACACATGTTAAACTATATTTATGCAAATTTTGGAGTATGGTTGATTAGTATCTGATACTGTTTTCATCAACTACGCTAACTGGAGGAGCTAAGTGTACAGTCTTTTTATTTTTATAAAGAACTGCAATGGGATATCTAAATGTTATATTGGAGACATAAATTGGTTGTATACATGCTAAACTATATTTATGCTTATTCTGGGATGTGGTTAATAAATAGATATACTGTGTTATTAACTATGTAAACTGGAGGATGGTATGCACCGGTATGGGACGGTGTCATACTAGGTACGGATTAGTTCAGACACTAAGCCTACCTAAATCTGGATTAAGGTATGGATTAATCATAAAGGTTAAGTCCATCACCTACATGTGTCATATCAATTGTGAATTGAATGACCTACTATGGTTTCAGGATGGATTGGTTATACATATATCAGACCACTACACAGATGGATGGTATACTGTATTAGGAGGAGTTCGGACTTTATATATATATATTTACGGTGCCGTGGAATGAGCTTGAGTCTCATGACCATGGTTAGGGCGCGTATATCGCCTAGGATGGATAACTGACATAGGTGTTGTTCCCTGGTAGGTCTAGGTACCCATGCTCACCTTAGGGTGCGTATTCGCATGTTGCCTTCTATTCAAGCTGAGACAGACCTGTTGGACTAGCGAGCGTCCTATAGTGTGTACCATATATTTATATGGACTACTCTAAATATTGTTGAGTCTTCCTAGGATGTATCTGCGTATCGGATTACTGTTTGGATTGTAGTAGATCAAGACTTGCATGTGGGTCTGACCCACTTCTTTATTTTTCAGGTGCTCGTCAGTTCCAGGGTTAGAGCTTGGACGTGTAGAGCAGATACAGCTATTCATTCCTCCGATTATGTAGGAATCTTCTCTATGATAGCTTTGGATTTTATTTTTATTATTTCAGTATCTTTTGGAGAATTTTAATAAGGGGTCCAATTGATGGATTCCCGAGTTATAAGCTTATGGAGTTTTGGATTATTGGATTTCAGTATTTTTGTTTTAAGGATTTTCGGTTAGCACTCTTTCAGCTTATTATTTTTATTTCTTATTTTATCTTGTATTCTGTGTTCGGTTACATATTAATTGTTTGATATCCTTCGGGTTTGGGCCTGGGCCTGATCAACCCGTGTCTCGGATCCGAGGGGTATCAAATGCCCCCTATTACGACAAGAGAAGTAAGGCCCCACTTTACTAAAGGAGTAAAGACGTGCAAAGATGTGCATACCTCAAGAAACTTTTATTAAATAGGCCTATAAGCAGCCATACTTAGATAAAAAAATAGACGTATGTTGTCTATAAATAGAAAGTAAACAAACTATATCATCTAATGATAGTACCTTTTTAAATGTATTGCATTCCATGGACGCGCAATTGGACGCCCATCAGCTTCTGCCAATCGGTAAGCTCCTTTTCCCACTATTTCAGTGACTCTGTAAGGTCCGATCCAATTGGGTTGCAACTTTTTTACATGGGCCGTTTCCTGTTTCAGCACCCAATCTCCTTCCACAAAACATCTGAACTTAACGCGCTTGTTGTAACTGTTGCTGGTACGAAGCAAGCCTAATTGTCGTAGCATCCCTCTTTTCTTCCAAGAGATCGAGGCTATACTCGAGCTACTGATCATTGTTACCTTCGAGTACCAAGTGAATCCGAAGAGTCAAAATTGCTGATTCCGTAAGTATAACAGCCTCTGACCCATAAGCCATGGCAAAAGGGTTTTCTCCTGTTGGCCGGCAAGTGGGGGTTCAATATGCCCAAAGTACCTGAGGTAGATTCTCGTACCATTTGGATTTGAGCTTTTCCAACTTTTTCTTCAAGCAGCTGAAGATGGTCTAATGAGTTATTTCTGCCTGTCCATTCCTCTAAGGATGGCTAACCGCAGCCAACTTCTACCTAATCCCATGCTCGGCAAAGAACTTTCTTGTGCTTCAGTTATCTAAATTTGGGCCATTGTCCATCATGATCACATATGGCATCCCAAATCGGCAGATTATATTATTCCATAGAAAACTCTTCACTTGTTCATGGGTCACGCTTGAGTAGGCTTCGGTTTCTACCCATTTAGTGAAATAATCGGTGGCCAGCAACACATACTCCTTCTTCTCCACCATTTTGGGCAAAGGACCGACCATATCAATCCCCCACTGTGCGAATGGCCATGGATTCGCCATTGCATGCAAATCTTCGGTAGGTTGATGCTTCATTGGACCATGTCGCTGGCACTTATCACACCTTCTGGCATACTCTTCAGCATTCCGATCCAGGTAAGGCCAAAAATAACCTTGAGTCAGAACTTTATGCGCCAAATATCTACCTCCGAAGTGATTTCCACAATCCCCATCATGAATCTGCTACAGTATCGTAAGAGCCTCTGTGGGGCTTAAATATTTCAGGTAAGGACCTGAGAATGATTTTCGATATAATTAGTTATTAATGATAGCATATTTGGTTACGGTGTGCCTGAGTTTTCGAGCTTCGGCCTTCTGGTTCGGGAAAGTCCCCTCATTAAGGTAAGCTTCCAATGGATCCATCCAGCATGGTTTGCGTGGGACAACCGAGATCACCATTATCTCCTGTCAAGGGCTTATACTTGGTTCATCCAGGATGTCGATTGGTACAATCCGGACCAAATCTTCATCCAAAAAAGATACTACTACAGCCAACTAATCTGCTTCAGAATTCTCTTCGTGAGGTATTTGATGAAAATTGATCTGATCGAACCCTCGTGAGGCAATTTCCACAGCTTCTCTGTAAGCCTTTATTCTATCCTCCTTAGGCTGGTACTGGCCTATTACCTGATTCACAATAAGCTGAGAATCACTAAAAACTTTTAGGCACCTTACCTGAAGCTGGTTTGCTAACCAGAGTCCTGTAAGCAGGGCTTCATATTCCGCCTTATTATTAGTGGCAGGAAAAGTCAGCCGAATTGACTACTGCAGTTTGGTGCCTTCGGGAGTTATAATAACGACTCTTGCTCCAGCACTAATCAAGTTCGAGGAACCATCTACCCGAAGCTCCCATTGTGGTTCAAAAAGGCCTGGCTCCTCGGGCTTATCTTCATACTCCAAAAGGAAATCAGATAACGCTTGCCCTTTGTACGACACCTTCGGTTCGTAGGATATGTCAAAGGAACTAAGCTCGATCGCCCATTTAGTTATTCTTCCGGACAAATCCGGTTTAGAAAGAATGACTCGCATGGGGTAGTTGGTAAGAACTTTGATGTTGTGTGACTCAAAGTAGTGTCGAAGTTTCCTTTTTGCGTATACTAATGCTAGTATGATCTTCTCGGCTTTGTTGTACCGCGTTTCTGTATCTGTCATTGTCTTGCTAGTGTAAAAAATTGGATACTGACTCTTACCTTCTTCTCTGATCAATACTGCACTTGTGGCTATGCTGGAGATGGGTAAGTACAAGACAATAGTCTCACTAGGCTTCAGATCTGACAGAATTGGGGGTTTCGCCATGTAACGTTTCAGTTGATTGAAAGCATCTTGCTGTTGTGGCCCCCATATGTCTTTGTTTTTGGACCTTATTGTATCAAAAAATGGTTTGCACTTATCGGACAATCAAGAAATAAATCGACTAAGAACTGCGATTCGGCCGGTCAGAACTTATACATCCCTGCGGGTCTTTGGTTCTTAATTTTATATGAGGGCTTGAGCCTGAGTCGGACTTACCTCAATTCCCCTTTTGTTCACAATATGGCCGAGGAACTGTCCTGAAGAAACTACGAAGGAACAATTCGAAGGATTTAACTACAAAGGAACACTGCAAATGAACTGTCCTCTTAAAGGTGTATAGGATGCTCATCCTTCTTCACACTATTAACCACTATATCGTCGATATAGGCCTCGACCGTCTTTCCCAACATTTTATTAAAGATCTTGTTAACAAGGCGCTAGTAAGTTGCTCCAGCATTTTTGAGCCCGAATGGCATAACTCTGTAACAGTAGGTGCCCTTCTCCGTTATGAAAGCAGTCTTCTCTTCATCCTCCAGATTCATAGGAATTTAGTTGTAGCCGGAGTACGCATCAAGAAACGTGAGCCTCTCAAAACCAGTAGTGGTTTCAACCATCTGATCAATCTTGGGTAACGGGAAGCTGTCTTTAGGGCAAGCTTTGTTGAGATTGGTAAAATCTATGCAAACCCTCCATTTGCCATTCTTTTTCTAAACTACCACCACGTTGGAGAGCCATTGTGAGTAGTACACCTCTCGGATGAAACATGCTTGAAGTAATTTGCTTACCTCTTCAGCTATAATTTGGTTGCGCTCTGGGGCAAACCTTCTGTGCTTCTGCTGGACTGGTTTATATGCCGGATCCACCTTCAAGCTATGGCATGAGACTGAAGGATCGATCCCCACCATGTCTGAATGCTCCCAAGCAAATGCATCTGCATTTCGTCAAATGACATTAATTAATGCTTCTTTTTCTTCGGCTGTGAGGGAAGAACCCATGTAGGTGATTTTCTGAGGATCGCCGAGGATTACCTCGACAGCTTCCAGAGACTCCTCGGTAGGCTTTTCTGCTTCAGCCTCATCCTCTACTCTCAGATACCTGGGCAGAGGATTCTGTAATTGTTATTTGGATTTGCTTCCCGGAGGTGTGACCGATTGGGATTGTTTCACTACCTTTTTTGCCTCTTTCTGTGTTAACATATAGCACTCTTTGGCAGTTACTTGATCTCCCCTGAGGTTTATAACCTCTTTCCCATCTGGAGACAAACATCGCATCACCTGGTGAAGGGTAGACAGAACTCCGTTCATTCAGTGGATCCAACCTCTTCCCATAATAAGATTATATGAAGGGTGGATCTCTGTTAAGACAAAGTTTTCCTTCAGAGTCCTCTTTGCCGCAGTTATGGATAAGTCAATCACCCCAAGGGGATCCATTTTTGTGCCATCGAACCCCAGTAATGGGCTGGAGGTAGGCCAAATTAATGATGATGGGATCTCTAGCTGCTCAAAGACCGCCTTTGTGATGATGTTGGCACTACTCCCTGGGTCAATAAAAACCCTCTTAATCATGCAATTCGCCATGAGGAGACTGATAACCAACGGATCTTCGTGGGGAAGTTGAACTCTAGATAGATCTCCATTACCGAACCCGATGTTGATGCTTCCCGAAGCAATAGTATTTACTGAGGATAGCCTCCTTAGCTTATGGGTTGTTCTCAGTCGAGATCTATAAACCTCCTCTGACTCCTGATCATCTTCCGATCTTCTATGTATTGCATGGATGACCTTTACTTGATTACCTTCGACTCTTCGAGGGTTGACCTCCCAAGGCTTCACATACTCCTTTGTTCTAAGGTAATCTGCCAATTCACCCCTCAGTATCATGTTTTCTGTGATACCCCTCGAATCCGAGACACGGGTTGATCAGGCCCAGGCCCAAACCCGAGGGAATATCAAACAATTAAAGTATTTTAAAGTGAACACAGATGACAAAATGAATTTAATAAATAAAGTTTAAGCTGGAAGAAACTAAAAGTAAAATCCTTTATAATTAAATACTTAGAATCTGATAATCCAAAACTCCATCAGTTTAACAACTCAGGAATCCATCTCTAGTGGACCCCTAATAAAAATCCTAAACTGAATGAAAGTAAAAACTGAAAATAAAATCCAAATCCAATATTTGGAAAGAAGTCATACGTCGTTGGTAGAATGGAAGATTGTCTCTGCTCAGCACGAACAAGCTCTAGACTGGAAATGTCCGATACCTGAAAAATGATGAGTGGGTCAGGCCCACATGCAAGTTCTATACTACTACTACCCAAGCAGAGACCCGATACGCATGTACATCCTAACCAATCCAACAATAGCTAATAGTCCGTAGATAAATATATATATATAATCACACTACAGGACTCTCACTGGACTACAGGCCCGTCTCAACCTGACTAGTAGGCACCATGCGAAAACGCACCCAAAGGTGGGCATGACTACCTAGTCCTAACAGGGTACACATCCAACCATCATAGCCAGCTATGCATCCCAATGCATATACGCTCCCTAACCAACGACTCTGAGACTCAGGCTCATATCGTGGCATCATAAAAATATATTTAAATTCCATTCCAAACCAAAGTGTCACTCAATTATTTATTGATCTGACACAGAAGACAGGTAGGACTTAACTTTTGTAGTTAATCCATCCCTTATTTCAGAGTAGGTAGGACTTAGCATTTTTAAGCTAATCCCCCTAGTATGTCACCGTCCCATACCGGTGCATACAAAACATCCATCCAGAATTGATAATATATATATGACAGCATAACATATCAATATCAACATACCCATTCATAAGCATAACAAGAATGTTTAACTAGCATGCTTGTTCAATACATCCAGTACCTGATTCTCTAACAGATTTTAAATGCAGAGAATAAATATAACCATCCTGTAACTCATAATAAGCCTAATAATAACATTAACAGTATCTACATGCTTACTTGTAATTACTCCACAACATCCCACAAGTTGACATAAACAATTGTTTTGGTAACCATCAACTAGTTCCTTATTAAGTATTAACTGATTTATATTAGTTAATAGGCTTAATCCCATACCCCTATTATATGATTTACATATCAAACTCCTAATTCAATTGCTAAATTAAAATTAAACAACTTGAATCATCCGCACAAGGCAACCATGTAAACTTTCTTAACAGTTTCATAACGTCCCTTCTACTAACCTTCTATGGTATAATATGTATTTTCATGCCTTCTGAAGTTTTAGTAGAATTTAAACATCACTGAGAACCTCTAATTAAACTCTCAGTTGTCCCTGGAAACCCATTAACCCAAGCACAGTAGCTAGCAGTCTCGCAGAAAACCAAAAAAAAATGAAAACCCACAAAAGGAGCCGGCTCCACCCAAAGTGGAGCCGCCTCCATCACCAAGTAGAGCCGGCTCTACTACAAAGTAGAGCCTGCTCCATCTTTTAATTGAGCCTGCTCTACTTGAAATAGAGCAGGCTCCTTCCCCTGTGCGTCGTTTTTCCAATTCCGGCAGTGTTCGGCTGTGTTGATCCTCCAAACCAAATTTCTTGCTAATTAAAACTAAGTCCTTGGGGAGTTCCAAAGTTAATTAAATTCATAACTTATTAACCAAATCATATGGAACAAGAATTACACAAAACAGCTTCTGAGTGGATTAAAATCCATACAAGAACACATACTGTTTCAGGTATCTAACCCTGCGACCCAGATTAATTTTAATATTTCCCACTATGTTTTAGAACTATTAAAATTCTTAATCCATCAAATGACATCATTAAAATCATGAATTAAGTAAAACAAAACAGTAAAACAAACAACACTGTAAAACAAACAATTTAACAGTTCATAAACATATGTTTATTAAACAATGCAAGCATGCGAACCAGATTTGTTTTAATCCTTATTTCATCCTGAGATTGTGTTAGGGATGCAAAGAACACAGGTCAAAGAGGTAGAGCTAGTTATAAAACTTGCCTGTGAGACTCGGTTCAGAAATCTCAGCGTCTTTCTTCTAAGTTTTCCCGGCGCCCCTTTGGTTTTCCTCCTCTCTGTTTCTTCTGTCTCCACAACGTGGTTAGGGTTCTAAACCCTTGACAGCCTTATACAGATATATTTATAGGTTTATAAGTTTACACAAAACCCTAGTTTAATTTAAACCCTAAACTAAATCCTTAGTCGGCCCATATGAAACCTAATTAATGCTTAATTATGTCGGCTACATACGTGACTTCTAAAACCAAAACCCTTAATTAATCCTACTAACATAAAACTCTATTTATAGAAAATCCATTTATACTAAATTAAATCATTTAACAATTAATTCAATTTCAAGAAAAATAATTAATTCTATTTAAAGAAAACAATTACATCCAATAATTAAAACCCAATTAAATAAACAATTAAATAAAATAATCAAACAAAAACAAGTCATTAAAATAATTCATAATGAAATCAACAAATTCACAACTAAATCAATAAAACACAATTTAAATAATTAAATAAATTCCAGAATTATTCTTGTTAAATTAGGGGTATTACATTTTCCATCTGTCGCCTAAGGGATCTGCAATTATTGGTTGTATACCCATAATCTCTGTGGTAAGCGCAGTGCTTGGTCTTGTCTCTCTGTTCCAATGGTTGCCTTATTGGCTGAGGGGCTACAAACTTTATTTTATTCTCCTGGAATAACCGAGCCAAGGTTATGCGAAGGGGAGTGATTCTTTCTTCAGTCTTTTGCCGTTTTTCGGGTATTTGAATAGCTGGTGCCGAAGCGTGTTGACTTCTTCGGTCTTTTGATCCTGAAACCTTTTTCCTGAGGCTTGTTCTCCACCGTGACGAGGGTGGCATGTTGAGCTCGGTAGGCCACATTCTCCTCTAGTCGAATGTAGATCTGTGCTCTAGCATTGAGGGTTTGCATGTCCGGAGGAGAATACTTAACCAAGGACGTATGAAACTTGGTTCCCTGAATCATTGCAAGTTTGAATGTTTCTATTGCGGTAGCAGGGTGGCAATCTGCTATTTCCAAAGCCTACATATTGAATCTAGATAAGAAGTCTTGTAGTGTTTCACCCTTCTTTTGCCTTATAGTAAAAAGGCTTGCAATACTCTTCCTTTGCTTCTTATTACCACAATACTGCGCCAGGAACATAGTGCATAGAGTTTCATAATCTGGAATAGACTTGTGCGGCCTATTCCTAAACCACTCCAGCGCAGCCCCAGTTAGACTGGTAGGGAAGACTTTGCATATCCATGGGTCATTGGGATCATCCAGAGCCATCTTTTGCGCTTAGTGATCTAAGTACCGAGAAGGATCTCCTGTACCATCAAACTGGGTAAAGGAAGGCATAGTGAATTTCTTGGGTCTCTCGACGAGGTACATATCGTCAGTGAATGGAGTCTTCACGAGAGAGTTCTTATATTCCCTGGCCATCTCTGCAGGTGTTTGAACTCTCAAGAGTCTCTTCTCGTCAAAGGCCTCTTTTACTCCTGCACCATTTAGAACACCATTAAACCATACCGTGAGTTTACGGTTGGATTCGGCCTGTTCATCCTGCATGTGACGAGAAAGATTGTCTAAAGCTACCGCCTCGGATCTGGCCCTTTAGTCTTGCTGAACTTCCGTGGGCTGAACTTCACTAATCCGAGCCCCATTGACCTGGGGTTCGTTTTGATTGGGAGGAGGCGCAGCTCCGTCAACTGGTGGTGGCCGAGCTTCACTAACCAAACCCCATTGCCCTGAGGTTCGTTTTGGTTGGGAAGAGGCGCAGCTCTGTCAACTGGTGGTGGCTGAGGTGTCAACTATGCCATAGCGGTTTGAAGGGTGTCATTCTGCTGTTGAAGCAATGTAATTTGGGCTATGCTGGCTTTATTCGCCTGACGAAGCGCTTCGAACTGGTGCAAGAACTATTTTCGCATCTTTTACATTAACTCCATCTGTTGATCTGCCGCCATTGATTCTTCGTTCGACATTCTGGATCATGGAAACAAAAACAACTTGAAACAAAAAGTGGGAGTATCTTTCTATACGCTTCCCACAGACGGAGCCAAAGTGTAGGTGCAAAATTTCTCTCTATTAGAATAAATAAAAAGAAAAATACAACTCACTCAAAAACAAGCAAGAATAAAACTCAGAATAAATATATAATGCTTGATGATTTTATTGGAGGTCTAGGCCTCTATTTATAAGAAATACAGTGGTGGAATTTTGGTAGAATTCGCATGGCTTGTCTCTAATTCATTCCATATATGATTTTCTTTACATCTATAATCCTTTCCTTTCTATAATTCTTTCTATGTTGAGTTTTCCTTGTACAGAACTTGCTCTCTTTTGTGATTCCTTGGCCTAGCAGGACATGACTTCCCTTTACCAAGATTAGGCTAAATGTGGGCTGGCCCGACGATTCGGCTAATGGGCTTGGAGTTCACCCTTGGTATGACGGACTGTCGCTGTCTAGTCTTAGAAGTTGGGCCAGGTGGCTCGGGTCTGCGATCTATGTGGGAGCCAAGGCCTTGTCTATGCTTGCTCTAGACTAGGCTGATCTAATTTGGGCTTGGTACCGATTGGGCCATTGTGGTATCTGAATTAATTTTGTAGTGTGACGACGTGGATAATTATTACTGGAAGGGGAATTTTTTCCCTCCACAGTCTGCGTTTCCTACTTCCTTCCTGAGTCCTGAAAGAAAATGTTAAATGTAATAGGATAAGCAAATTGCTCAGTAGGTGGTGCCTAAGACACACCTCTTGTGGCCCCGTGAATCCAAATAATGAATAGGAATAGATGATAGGGGTCATGCTATGCCGGAAAAGAATACAACATAAATTCTAATTTCAAAT